AGGGCGCGCGCTCGGTCTGGCCGGCCAGCCAGGCGCGCAGCGGCACCAGGTGGCAGTCGCAGCGCCAGGGGTTAGCGCCCAGGTGCGCGGCGCGCAGCAAGGGCAGCGCATCCAGCAGCCCCGGCGGCAGCGCCGTCAGGTTGTTGCCGGTCAGCACCAGTTCGGTCGTGTCCGGCGGGAAGGCGGTCGGCAGCGAGGCCCACGTCAGCCCGCGGCGCCCGCAGTCCACGCGCGTCCCCGCGCAGACACAAGGCGCGGGGCAGCTTGTGGCCGCGCGGCTCGGTGGCGCGACCAGCAGGAGCAGCAGGCTCAGCGCCCCGTGCGGCCCTGGAAGGGAAGCGCGGTGAGCCGGGCGGCCTCTCTGAGCCCCCAGAGCGCCGGGCCTGGTCCCAGCACCCCCCATTGCCCGAAAGCCTCTCCACCCCCACCACCCTGCGCGCTGGGTGGAACTCCCCTCAAAGTTCGACCCAAATCTCTCGGTACTGCAGCCAAAACGACTGGGGCGCCTCCCAACGCGACTGTGCTCAGGGAGTGGCCTGGGCTCGGCAAGACCCTAGACTCACCAGAGCCCATGGCGAGAGGACAGTGGCCCTGCTGGCTCTGGAGCGCCAGGCGTTGGCTGAACAACTAGGCCATAAGGCCGCCCCGCCCCTGCCAGGCCCCAGCACCAGCCACACTGACCACAGCGCAACCGCCCCGCCAGAAATAACCCCGAGGCTGCACCGACAGGCGCTGAGGCCACAGATAGAGGGCTATCGCTGGGCCTCCTGGCCGGGGTGGCTTCCGCCCCACTTGCTCCCAGGGGCACACAGAGCACTCGGAAGCCTGCTGCAACGCTCACCAACATTGTTCTCCTGTCACCAGGACAGGATGCGGCATTCACAACTGAACAAAACTGGAGAGTGGACTCTGTGGAAGGGGATCATGCGGGTGGAACAATGGGAAAGCTAAGGGCTAGGGGACCCAGGGCAACAGTGCCACTGGGGAGAAGGGACCTCCAGCCACAAGCAGGGAACAGCAGTCTAGGCCTGGGAGTTGCCGGGGGATCACCCACCTTCCATGGCTCTGGAGCCCTGGGCCTGGAATAGCCGCACAGGCATAGCCGTGGGGGAAAAGGCCGGCCATCACAGATGTCCCAGCCCCAGGAGCTCCTCCCCCACAGCTGGCTGGCCTCCTTAGGTCTGGAGGGATCTTAATTGCTTCTGCTGCCCAACCTGCCCACTGAGCTACAGGTGAGGAGAAAGGGGGGACCTGGGCCACCTCGGCACGAAGTGAGGCCCCAGCACATGCTGCAGGAGCAGTTGCATGAGGGCTCCCAAGTCCGCTCTGCCGCACTGGGCTGGGGAATAGCCTGAGACCCTGGGGTCTGCTAGCCTGTTCTGCCTCGGTTTACCTGCCCCGAGTAGGGCCTGGAGTCTGAGTGCTAGGACCTTCTGGGGTAGGTGTAGATCTCAGAAGTCACGGGCCAACGCAGCTTCTGCTCCCCCAATGCCAGAGGGGGCTGGTTGTAGAGGCTGTTGTCCAGCCCCCTTGGAAGCAGATACAAATGGGGGGAGTGGTTGATGCTGAGAATAAATTAGGGTTGGCTGGGGGCTGCGACCCCGTGTCTCCAGGTTAGGTGGGGAATGGTCGGGAACAGTCCGGGTCTGGGCCACTCTGGGATTGGGGTTGTGTCCAAGCCTGTCGGAGATCCACATGAATCCAGGGTCGAGTACAGACCAGTCGGGGTCCTGGGGTGGGAAGGGCCAGCCCAGAAACTGGCAGTATATCCATGGGGACGTGAGGCTGGGGCGGTCACTGGTCCTGCATTTGCTGCTTCATCTTCTGCAGCATCTCCTGCATGCGCCTTAGCTGGTGCAGGGAGAAACTCGATGGGAGGGGCCTGGCCCTTCTCCCCCCACAGCCCCTTCTCCTCCCCTACCATCTCACCGACCTCCTCATCCTTCATCCTGATGAGCTTCTCTGTCTCGGCGTCGGGCGTGGGCAGTGGCAGGATGGGGATGGGGCTCTCCATGCGGCTGTCCTGGGTCAGTTTGCTGTGGGGTAGACAAGAGGGACAGTGCTGCTGGGAGGTCGAGTGGACCCCCAACACTACCAAAGTCCGGCCTGCCTAAGCTCGCACACCTCTGGGCTGGCTCTGGGGAGACGAGGCGCTGGGTGGCTGGTTTGGGGGTTGGGGCAAGGTTCAGGTCTGGGTGGGTGGCGGAACCGCCTTCGGTTATGGAGACGTGGCCGGGGCCGCGAGGTACATGGTTGAGGTCCGGGGCGGGGGCGCACCTGGTCATCTGCTGGATGCAGTGCGCACGGTAGTTCTCGTAGTGCACGTCGCACGTCACGTCCTTGAGGTCGTGCATGTGCGTGCGAATGAGCATGTTGCGCAGCTTCACGAAGTCGCAGTGCGCCTGGTTCTCCACTGCAGGGCGGGAGCGGGTGGTGGGCAGGTGCTGGCCAGGGGAGCCTGCCCACCCTGGTCCCCATGCCCCATGCCTGAACTCACCCTCCACGATCCCCCAGGGGTACAGTCGTCCCCGGACCCGCTGCCCCTTGGCCTCCACCACCGTGTTGCTGCCGATAACAGCGAAGGGAGCGCTCTCCTGGGGAGGAGCAAGTGCAGGGCTCATGCCCAATTAGTATGACAGCGGGTTAGTGGCTGGAGAGGGGCCTGAGCCTGGTGGGCCTCTCCAGCATCACCATCAACAACCTCTCCCCAAAGAGATCCTGACGTCGCCCCCACTTCTGGCTGCTCTGCTGCCAGCTGAAGCCAGAGCTGGTGCAGCTCGCACCCTGGGGCCTTTGCCGGGCTGTGCTCAACCAGGCATGCCCTCCCCTCCCAATATCTCCATCAAGAGCCGCTCGGTCCAGGGCCGGCCCCGTGGCTTAGCGGTTAAGTGAGTGCGCTCCGCTGCCGGCGGCCCGGGTTCGGATCCCGGGTGCGCACCGAGGCACCACTCCTCCAGCCATGCTGAGGCCGCGTCCCACATGCAGCAACTAGAAGGATGTGCAGCTATGACAGACAACTATGTACTGGGGCTTTGGGGGAAAAATAAATAAAAAAAATCTTTAAAAAAAAAAAAAAAAAAAAAAAGAGCCGAAAAAAAAATAAATAAAAAAAATCTTTAAAAAAAAAAAAAAAAAAAAAAAAAAAAAAAAAAAAAAAAGAGCCGCTCGGTCCAGCTATCTCTCCATTCCCTCCCCAGAGCTGAGCCCAGGCCTCCTGCTAGGGATGCCCCTACTGACTTTGGTTGGAGCCAAGGGCTATCCCTGCTCCTGGCCTGATGGCCACTTGTCCCCTGGCTTGAGTGTGGTCATCACCACTCTAGCTGCTGGGGCACCCAAAACCACCACCATCCTCGGGAGCTCAGAATTCTGGGAGCCAGGGGTACAGTGCACAGGCCTGTGGCCACTGGGCCGGGCCCTTCCGCTGGTGACCCAAAGGAAGAAGACTGAGGAGCAGGGTCAGGGTGGGGGCCTGGCCAGCAGCTGTGCCGTTGAGTCCTGGCAAGCACTCTATTACCCACTAACCACGTGGGGCCCAAACTGCACAAGGCAGCTAGGGACACGTGTGACCTTAGCCTTCTAGCCCTTAGCTTGGCCCTCCTCCAGCCCTGTGTGAACTGGCCTCCAGTTCCCTCTGCTGCCCCACCGGGCTGCATGCTCACCTTCAGTTCCCGATCCTGCTGCTTGAAGTCCTCATCCTCGTCCGAGTCACACTCTGGGAACTGGTACACGTGGATTCCGAACTTGTCAATCTCCTCCCGGATCTGCGGCGGGGCAAGGGCTGTCAGATTTGGGACTGGCCAGGTCCCCTGGGCCAGGTGCAGTGGCGTCTGGGGTCAGCACAGCTGGTGCTCTCAGCCCCAGAGTCCTGGGCCAGCCCCTGCTGCCACAGCAGGCTCACCCGCTCCTTCAGCTTCCGAATCTCGCCAGGGACAAGACAGTCAGCTTTAGCAATGAGGGGCACGATGTTCACCTTCTCGTGCAGAGCCTTCATGAAACCCACATCCACTGGCCGCAGCCTGCAGAGAGCAGCCAAGGGCAGTGAGGGGCATTGTGGGGGTGATGGGAGAGGGTGGGGGTGGGCTCAGGGGGAGAATGGTTGTGGGGGTGCGGGCAGAGGATGGGCAGTGACACGGGGACCCATGGAGGTGGGTGGCCTCCCGAGCCTGGCCCCAGGACAGCCACACACCCGTGCCCAAAAGGGGAGATGAAGTACAGGCAGCAGTGCACCCGGTTGTCTTGGATGTTCTTGCGGTTAAGGCCGCTCTCGTCACGGAAATACTGCTCAAACTGCTGGTCCACGTAGTCGGTGATGGGCTTCCAGCTGTGGGCAGAGGGGCGCGTGAGACCAAGCTTTGAGGACGGCCCACCAGCCTGGGAGAGGCTGAGTCAGCCTGGGCAGGGACGGTTCCTCACCACTCAGAGTTGTTGACGGCATCCCCGAAGCCTGGCGTGTCCACAATGGTGAGCTTCAGTTTGACCCCTTTCTCTTCAATGTCCACCGTGTGCTTCAAGATCTCCACCGTCTGGCTGATGCGCTCTGCAGGGGTCGGGGGCATTGTTGGGAGGAGCCTCTGTAACCCTCAGCCCCCACTCTGGGCAGCCAGGACCCTTGTTCTCATCCATGCTAGTGTTTTGGCCCTAGCACTGGGCCTGTGGTCTGGGACACTCCTCCTGGACCCTGAACAGGAGACCCACGCTGTGGGGAGAGAGAAGTGGGGGCTGGCCCTGGAAGGGTGCCCTCTGAGGGGTCACACAGCAGGGGATGGCGAACCAGTGCGGAGGCAGTGTGGGGCCCACTCACCCTCGGCACTGAGCAGCTTCCGGTCCTTGTACAAGTCGGTCAGGAAGAGGCTGTGGACCAGCGTGGACTTCCCCAGGCCTGACTCACCTGCCCACAGGTACAGGGAAGGAGTTGAGTTAGGTCCAAGACCCCCAAGGCAGACCCTGCCTGGCCACTGGCCCCAGCCACCCTGCCTGGGAGCTAGGCCCACTCACCAGCCACCATGAGCGTGAAATCGAAGCCCTTCTTCACGGACTTTCGGTGCACCTGGTTGGGCAGTGTGGCGAAGCCCACGTACTGCTTGTCGATATCCTGGGGGCAGGGGCAGGGCAGGTCAGGGGCACACGGGGGCTCCTGGGGCAGCCCTGTGCTCCGTCCCCCGCCCAGCTCAGGCAAGGAGGCAGCAGAGAGGGCAGAGTTCCTGGGGTGGTGTGTTTCAATGGCAGAAATGGAGTGACGCCTGTGGGCAAAGGCCTGGGGGTGGGAAGGCAGGTGGCAGGTGAAAGAGCCCTTGCCCCAGCGGCAGAGAGGGGCTGTGCAGGGACCCAGAATGTGTCTGTGTGTCGGGAGGGATGTCAGGCCACAGCAGGCACAGGCAGTGTCCTCCCTCTGGCGCTGGGCAGAGACCACCAGGACGGAGACACCTCAGACAGGCCCAAGGCCCTCCATAGGCAGGAAGAGCCCCCAGCTGCAATACTCACCCCTCCCCAGTGTCCCGGGGTGGGAGGCCCTGTCTGGCCCCGATCCAGCCGCGGGGGTGGCCTGCGGCAGCGACGGCTGAGCAGGGGCTATTTATAGCCGGCGGCGCCGAGCCTTCCCGCCCGCGGGGTCCCTGCGCCCACCCTCGCCGACCGCGGCCCTGCTGCCCCTGTCACGTCCGGAGTGCTCAGGGCCCGACCCAGGTGGCGCACACGCACTGACCCACATTCCGCTCCACTCTCCACACACACCTTGAGCCGCCTCTGGGCCTGGGTCCGCGGTGACAGCAGCTGCTCCACCAGGAGGTCCTGGGGTGCTGCCAGCGAGTCCATCGCAGCGGCCCCTGCGACCCTGCTGGCCGCGTCTGGCCCTCAGACCGGGTCAGGCCGCCAGGGGCGGGCGTTCTCGAGGGACTCACGCGCAGTACCACCTTGAAGCGCTGTTCTCACCCGGGTCTTACGGACGCGGGAACAGAGGCGCAGGGAGGGGACGCCGCGCACACGGGGTGCCGCTGACCGCCGAGGCCGTGCGAGCCATCCTCCTGCCTCTGCGACCGCCCCAGCCCCGTGGCGTCGCAGCCCCCGCAGGCCCAGCTCCGGCACCCGAACAGAGGCGGGGCTCGGCGGGCGCGCGGGAGGGGCAGGGACCGCCCGCTGGCGCTGTCGCTGGGAGACCGGCGCCGGGAAATTGGGCCGCGGGCGGAGCCACGGAGAGCTGCTATGGAGGGCAGGGCCGCGGAGGGCCGCGGGGGCGGGATGCGGCGCCGCGCGCACAGGCGCCCCGCGGCCTCAGTCCAGGCCTCGGACAACCGCGGCGGAGGGAGGCCGGGTCCCACGCGCCGGCCCTGGGGGTCTGTGGCCGCCGCGCCTCCCGCCCCCAGAGGAGCTGCGCGGCTTCCGCCCGCTAGAGGGCGCCGGAGGGCGCTCCCGGGACCCGCGCGCATCCACGCGGGAACGGCCCGTCCACCCCTTCTCCGCTCGGGGATGCGGCCCAAAAACCTCCCGGCGGTGTCCCAGAGCCCCCAACTACCCACGGACACATCCCTCCCTGCACTGCCCCCTCCCCTCGTGTGTGTATGTGTGTGTATGTGTATGTGTGTGTTTGGAAGATCCCCCAAGACATGTAGGAGGGAACGAGGGCAGAGCCCACCTCCCCAGTCTGCACCCGCCACCCCAGGCCCTCCGAAGCTTAGAGTGAGGGCGGTCAGAGCACTAGACGCTACCCCCTCTACCTCTGGAAACTTGGAAGCTCCCTAGTGTGCAGCTCCACAAACTGCCACCACCCCTGCCCCCCACGGCTGCCCCCAGACCACCCCTGCCAGCAGAGCAGCTTCCTCTGAGCTTCCCTGCCTGTTCTGACCCACAGGACTGGGTGCACGGGGACTGGAGAGCTCCAGCCAGCTTAGCCCTCACCCACACGTGGCCACTCCAGGGACAACAGGGGTCTCCTGAGCTGCCAAACCCTTCCTCACCCCATCATCCAGTTACCCCACCAAAATCTGAACAGCCAGCGCCAGCCGGACAGGAGGGAGGCCTGGAAAGGAGCTGGGATCTGAGACATGTGCCTGGACTGTGTGTCAGTAGGGACAGGCGGCCCCCCAGGTCTCCCCCACCCAGGCCCTCCCTTCTTGCTTTCCCTGGTTAAGGGGCCTCTGTCCCCCTGTCCAGGCACATGCTGCTGCTGTGGGGCCTGGAGGCCACTGGCACCTGGGGAGGAGGGGTGGGCCCACAGCTGGAAACAGGAGAGTCTTTCATCCGGAGGAGGGTGTAGAGAGCAGGGGGAGGCCACGGGGCCCTCAGCTCTCCCAGCCTGTCCCCCGGCCTTGCTCCGAGAAAGCCTTCTCACTGGCCCAGCCCTCTGCCATGCTGACCTGCAGGAAGCCTCTGGGCTGAGTCCCACTCAGCCTCACCCGTGGGTCCACTTTAGACATGGCCCTCAGCCCAGGACCCGCCCAGACAGGCTGGCTTCTCAGGCCTGGGGCATCTCCAAGAAGACAGCCAGCCTGGGCCTCCCTCAGGCTGAGAGGAGCCTCAGCACTCCACAGCGTGGTGTCTCACGGAGCCGGTCGCTCCCAGACTTTCTCTATTCCCCCATCGGTAAGGCACTGTCTGGGGAGACCAGGTCAGGAGGGCAAGAGTCTCACTCCACCTCCCAACCTGCCTGCCCCATCACCCGACCGCATGCACCCAGACAGGGCCTGTGGATTCTCTGGAGGAACCCCAAGGAAGGGGCCCTGCCACCCCCTTCCTCTGGCCGCTGAGGCGCAACAAATACTCCTCAGGGCTTCCCGAGCCATAGACACAGCTGTGCCCACCTCCTCCTGGTGCCTGAGACTCTCGAGGCATTTCCATTCTTAGAATTACCAGAGTCAGCTCTGAAAGCAGACGCCAGAGCCAAGAGAACCGCATCGCTGCCTGAGACAGGGTGGGGGGCCGGGGGGGGGCACAGAGGGCCACCGGAGCTCCCCCCAACCCCTTTCACAGAGTGTGGATAGGTGGAAGCTCGAGAACCCCAACAATGGTAACAGTGAAGCTCCCACGTGCTTCTGGCTCCCCCAGACCCACAGGAGCCCGCCCCAAACACCTGGATCCCTGGTCCTGCTCCTGGGGCTCCCCACTCCACCTGCATGGAGCCATCTCCCTCTGATCTTAGGGGCAGGGGATGGATGAGGCTGGCTCCTAGGTGACCTCAGAGAGTGGGCAGACACAGCCCTGAAGGAGTTCACGCCTGGGCAGGAGGGGACCCCGGGTGGTGCGAGGCCGCAGCTGCCCAGCCCACTGACTCCAAGTGCCTGCAGCCCCAGGAGAAGCTGTGTGGGCTGGTCTCCCAGGCCCTCCCCCTCTCTCTCCCTCAAACAATAGCCTGGCGGCTTGTGTCCCTGTGTCTCAGGCATTGTCTGACCTGCTGACATGAGGAGGCAGCTCCTGGCCCCGGGCTGCCCCAGGGAGCCCCTGGCTGGCAGAGTAAGGTTGACGGGGCCTCTCCCCATGAGCCTCACCGGTCCCAGGGCGGGGCGCATCCCTGCCAGGAGACGGGCACTGAGCAGCCAGTGACTCCTGGCCTCCACCCCACCTGCCAGGTCGCTTCTGGCCCCAGTACCGCATCCTGGGCCAGGACTCCAGGGTTCCACCCAGCATCCACCTGGTGTGTGAAGCGCCATCCCTGACGGGGGCTGCCAAGGGGATAGGGGTTTCTCCCCCAAACACGGCTGAGCTTCAGCCAGACAAGCCCCCAGCCCACCTTCCCACTCCCGGGGTCTCCCAGCTCTGTTTAACCCTGACCTCAGCTGGGTTTTCACAGTGGGCGCCCCCACCGGCTTCCTGTTGGGTCCTGCATTCCCGGAGAGTAGGGACCAGGCCAGCCCCTTTGCAAGGCCACAAGCCTATTTGTACCCACTAGGTTTGAAGACCCGTGTTGGGCACGGGATGACTCAGACCAAGCCCTGGAGGCTCCCAGTCTGGGGAAGAGGCCTGGCCACATTATCAGTCCACTCAAATTGGTGTGTGGGGAGAGGGACACAGATGCCTAAGAGTAGGGTGGGGTGGCCACAGGCTCTCTCACGGGGCTGCTCAAGGTCTCTGTGCTGGCTGGTGGACACACACCCCCTCCCCCAGCCCGTGGCCTCACTCAGGACCCCCAGCACACGGCCAAAGGCCAGATCAGCAAGATCACGTTGGCGCTGGACCAGTGGGAGAGGGGCACCTGGGAGGGGTGCACGGGCGTGAGGGTCAGGGGCCAGGACCCTGGGCATGGCGCCCACTCCTCCCCTCTGCAGCCCGAGGCGAGGCGGCACTGCCCCGACTGACAATCGGTTATCGCGACAGGGCGGAACGACGACCGGCGGGGGAGGGGTCGCGCCTGGGCGCCGGCGTTGGTGGCACAATGGGTGACAGCTGGCCGAGTGAGCGGCGGCGCGCACGTACCTGCTTGTCCTCTGCGGGGTCGGGGTCGGGTCAGGGTTCGGGTCCGGGTCGGGCGAGTCCGGCCGGCAGGCGGGGGAGAGACGGAGAGACACGGTGAGAGGCGGGCGGGCGGGCGGCGGGGACAAAGGCGCGCGCAGGCGGGCGCCGGGCTCACCTGGGGTCGCCAGCTTGCTCTTGTACCGCAGGCCAGTGCTCATGGTGGCCGCCGGCGGGGGACGTGCGGCGGCGGG